CCCCGGGGTAACGGAGGTGTCCTGCTTTTAGGAGCTTCCCTTGAGCTTTGTGGGACGGGGCAGCCCGCACAGTGCACTTTTTATAAGAGTGCGTATGATAGTCCACGTCCTCACCACACTGGGAAAGTGAAAATACAAGCGTAAAGAACGACTGAGCGCAGTTTCTGTTCCTCACCGACTGTTGAACTTGGCGGAGTAACCAGACTGCTGTGTGTGTGATATTCCTGCCTCGTTTGTCACAGAGGAGACTCACTGAGTCCGGGCGAGTAGCTTGCCTTTTCCTCTACATCGCCTGTGGTGTCTAGGACTGGGGCTGCCTGTGGAGGTGCAGGATCATCACTGCATCTCAGTGCGGAGCATGTACAGCGCTCACAGCTTCACGAGGTGGAGGAGTAAACCTGGGGCTGGACTGCGTCCGGGTGTGGGGATTGAGCCAGTCGCTCCATCTTGGACTCCAGCTTCTGCATTTATAAAGTTTCAGTGCACTGCTGTTGCCTTCCTAGGCCGATGGGACTAGGAGGACATGGTCAGAAAGGAGGTGACATGAGGCTAGGGTACATTTGAGTTACGAGGTAAGGAGGATGGGGACCCTTCCTTAGGGAGACAGAACAAAAAGAAGTCTGGGCTTTTGAGTCTGAAAAGATGTCCGCACTGGAGTGTGAGCAGGGCCTCACATGCTGTGAAAAAGTGAGGGAAATGATAGCTTCCAACGGTGAAACACTTACCAATCTATTCAACAAGCCTTAGTCGAGGGCTGCGGCTAGGCCCTGGACGAGGGGCTGTGGGCCCCAAATGAGTCAGGACTCCGCTGCCAAGCGCCCAGAGTCTCAGCAATTCTCGTTAGCTAGTGGGTTCCTGGGACAAAGCTTATGTCAGGCAAGTATTTTGTATATAGAAGAGTTTTAAGTTAGCAGCATAGTCTGTCATTCAGCGAGTCAGTTGTGGAGCCGTGGGGAAACAAACCGGGGATGTGACCAAACAAGCGATGGGATCGGCTCTGCAGGAAGCTCTGGCTGTCTGTGGCCTGGAGCGGGATGGGCAGTGTCTGCTGTGGAAAATGAGTGATGTCACTGTAGGCTGGGAGTGAACCGGGTTCATGGGGAACGTAAGTCATTTCCCTGGAACCTAGGATTCAGGCAGTGAAGTGACACCATTAGAGGAATCCTCATTCCTGGGCCATGCAGCATCAGGCTGGCGAGGCATGCCCTTTTTATGGGCCCACCTTTGTGGGGCCTGCCTGGCTGCTGCCGAGAGAACACTTGTGCTTGTTTGACTCAGTCATGGAAATGGCCTCTCCTTGCTGTGACCTGTGGTTGAACTCATGAGGTAGCTCTACCGTCATTAGGGAACTTGACCCGCCCAAGGGAAAAGAATCTGGTTTCTTCTTCTGGGATGCCATGGAAGGAAGTAAACAAGGAGCTGCGTAGTAGGTTTGTTTGAGTTCATGTGAAGAATTTAAAATTGTAATGGGGTCTAGTTTACATGGAAAGCGGGTACAATGACAGGCCAGTTACAAAGTATTTAACTTGTATCAGAGGGTTTTTGATTTTTTAAAGTTCTGAAAAGATGCGTCTTTTTACTAAATTTTATGTTGAACAATTAAGAGAATGTATGTTGTTGTTGGGTGCCATCAAATCAATTTTGACTCGTAGCAACCCCATGTTACAGGGTAGAACTGGCCTATAGGAGTTTCTAGACTAATCTTTACTGGAGCAGATTGCCAAGTTTTTCTCCCACGGAGCCGCTGAGTGGGTTCGAACTGCTGAACTTTTGGTAAGCAGCTGAGTGCTTAATTGTTGCACCACCAGGGCTCCTCAAGGTGCTATATATACTAAGGTGTAAAATGTTACATATTTGTTAATTTGCAAGTTTATGGTGGCTTGTGTTTTTTAACCCATTTAAAATACAATTAATTACACAGGCATGTTGACTTTGAAATAATTCACTGAGCTGTAAACTTATGATTTATATTCTTTTCTTATGTAAAATCTACCTCGATAACGTTTTATTAAAATATAATTAACATACATTAATATACACATAAGACAGAATGCCTGAATCATTTATGGCAACATGGCATACCTTAGTTTTATAGTTAGGAATACATCATACAACACAACACATCTGAAGAGAATGTAGATGTATATATTGGCAAAGAAAATACTTTTTGGTTTAAATAAAGTAAAATATTAGCTCTGTCTTGTTAGGTGTAAGTATCAGAGTACTAAACAGTTAAACTTTCTCATCTGTCCTCTTTTCATTGTTATTCTAAGCCACTTGAGGGGCGAGGGAACCAAAAAGATAGCTGTATACCCAGCAGACTTGAAAGCAGAGACTCAGAACAGAGACTTATACAGCAGTGGTCATTGTAGCACTATTCACAATAGCCAAAAGTGGAAACAACCTAAATGCCCATCAGCAGATGAATGGATAAGCAAAATGTGGTACATATATACAATAGAATACTGTTCAGCCAGTAGGAGAAATGAAGTCTTGACACATGCTACAATATGGATGTCCTTCTCCAGGGACTGGTCTCTCCTGATAGCATGCCCAAAGTATGTGAGACAGTTTTACCATCCTTGCTTCTAACGAGTATTCTGGCTGTACTTCTTCCAAGACAAATTTGTTCTTCAAGGAGGTGGATTGACACAGTGGCTGCAACAATGGGCTCAGACAGCAATGACTGTGGTGATGGTGCAGGGCCAGGCAGTGTTTTGTTCTGTTGTACATCGGGTCGCTATGAGTCGGAACCGAACTGAGGGCACCTAACAACAACAACAGTGTGGATGGAGCTGGAAGACATTATGCTAAGTGGAATAAGTCAATCACAAAGGGACAAATATTGTATGGCCTCACTTATATAAAAAGACAAGAAAAGACAGATGTTATAGAGAAAAAAGTTTATTAGTGGTTACCAAGGGCAGGAGGGAGGGAGAAAGGAGGGGTTGACTGTGATGGAAATATCGTGTTGACTAAGGGTAGGGTTGCACATCCGATTATTCTAATTGCTGTCAGTAAGTTGTACACCTGTAAAAAGTTGAATTGGCAAAAATTGTGTATTTACAACAATGAAAGAAAAAAGAGTAGCTGCTGAGGCTGATTATGTACAACTGAAAACCTCATGGAATTTGGTTTCTTGGTTTTGAGGTTTAGGGTCATGGTTTCATGGAACATCCCGGTTAATCCCTTAATAACATGTTTTCGTGCTTCTGTTCTACCTCCCAGTTTGTTGTGTAGTTCCTGGGGTCTTAAAAGCTTGCAAGCAGCCATCCAAGACACAACAATGGGTTTCTTTTTGCCTGGAGCAACAGAGGGAAAAGGAGAGCCAGGAATAGGAGGAGGATATGGAATGTGTGGCTAATTGCCTTCGTGGACAAGTGCCTCCTTTGCCATGAGCCAGAAGAACTGGATGGTGTCCGGCTACCATTACTGAACATTTCCATCAAAGATTCCATAGAAGAATCCTGATCTAAAGGGGGGAAATGCAGAATAGAATTTCAGATTCTCGTGGACTCCAGACTTCCGGGATCCATGGAGGCTGGATGAACCCCTGAAACTATTGCCCTGAGATAATCTTTAAACCTTAAACCTAAAATATCCCCTGAAGTCTTTTTAACACCAAAAAATAGTTTAGCTTAACTAGTAAAGAATGTCTGCCTTGAGCATTATGCTCTTTTAAGGACTATCTGTATGGGATCAAATTGACAACAGCAACTCAGAAGATTAGATAGAAACCTTAGGGGGGCGGTGAGTTTATGTTAATGAGGGAGAACAACTCTGAAAAGGAGGGTGAGGATGGTTGCACAACTCGAAGAGTGTAATCAGTGTCACTGAATTGTACGTGTAGAAACTGCGGAATTGGTGTGTGTTTTGCTGTGTATATTCTCAACAACAATAACAAAATAAATAAAATTATATATATGTAAATAAAGAATGACAGAGGGGTATCAGGATGGTAGGAGTAAGGGGTTCTGAGGGAGCTCTGAGGAAGGACTGTGGCCTACAGGCTAGAACTGAAGGGTCTGGAGGAAGATAGACTTGGCTGGAATCGGCTCAGGTAGCTGCGTGCCTATAGGCAATGTTACTTCACCTCCCACCCATGACTCCTCCACCGAGTGAGGTGAACACACGCACCGCACGTGTTTGTTGAAGATTCTGTGGCACGGTGCGCAGGGCAGGGCTAGTGCACTAGCGTGTGCTCCGTAAATAGTGTGTCTGGGTGATGGTTAGGAACGTGGCCTGGAGCCCTGCCCTGTCCCTGACGAGCTGTGTGACTTGCAGCAAATTACTGAACTTCTGTGCTGGTTTTCTTATCTGTAAAGTGGGGATAAAATAGTACTTACCATAGGGTCATTGTGAAGCTTAAAAGGGTTAATATATGCAGAGCACTTAGTTCAGTGCAAGGCATGGGATAAGCACAGTAAAATGTTTGACATTAATATTGTTTACCATCATTAACAGAGAGTGGGACATGCTTTCAGATTCCGCCAGTTGCCCTTCTCTAGAGGTTGCCTTTGTGCTCACTGCACAGACACGTCGCTGTCAGACGGTGGGCCACGCCTCCAGGTAGGCCATCCGTACAGTGTCTTTGGCAGGAGATTTGTCTGTGAGAAGCTCTGCTGCGTCTGTTTCTCCACACCTGTTGGCAGTGTGGTGGCACCTGTTGCTAGGTGTCACCTGCGTGGTTTCTAGGTTGTGTGTCCTTAAGACGCTTGCCCGGTCGCCAGTCCGACAGAAGTGTCACTTGTAATACACATTTGCAAAGATTTGCTTAAAGTTGAATCCCTTATTAAATATGGTGTCTGATGTTTATGCATTAGAAAAGCTGTTGTGTATATATACCTAATAAAAGCGGTCAACAGCTAGGAAAAGTTCTTACGAGAAAACAGACTAATTTGTCTTCTCCTAACTTCCTGATGTTCATGTTCTGACACTAGAGAACAATGGCTGTGCAACTAAACGTACATTCCGCTGTTGGTGTATTTTGTTTCCTGTAGGCTGGGAACCCACATGTTGAACTTACCCTGTCCGAACTCCAAGGCATGGCAGCTAGGCAACAGCAGCAAATTGAAAATCAGCAGCAAATGCTGGTTGCCAAGGTGAGTCGTGAAAGCAGGGGTGTGGAAGCGTTGTTTAGAAATTCCATTCTCCAGCCATTATTTTAGATTGAGATTAATACACTCATGGGTAACACTTACAGGATTGTGCCATGGAAGAGTTAAACACAGTGTCTTTATACCTCAGTGTCCTGAAGCTGGGAAGAGCAACACACACACACACACACACACACACACACACACACACACACACAGTGGTTGATCATATCCAAATTACAGGTACCGTTTGGAAAGAAAGGAAGCTTTCCTTTTTTCTCTGAGTATGCCCCTCGCGGGGGTATTTGTGTTCCAGAGTAAGGCAGCCTCACGATGAGAAAACCAGTAAGGACCCTGAAAACAGTGACAGCTGACTGTCGGGCTGCCCTGGGGCCTCTCTCAGCAGCTCCTTTGGTTTCTTACAGCGCTGGGCCCAGGTGGTGCTCCTTGTCCTCACCAGGCTCTGCGTTTGTTGTTGAAATTCTGTGATAGTGGGACTGGAGAGTCCTCTAAATTATGGTGTCATCATACTCTATAGACCTGTCACCTGTGCCTGCTGGAAACGATTCACTTTGTAAATGATTTTTTCAAATATTCTGAAACCGCTTTAAAAGAGAATCTTGTTAGCGCTACTAAGCCTTCCTGCTTTCTTCTTTAGAGAGATGTTCCCAGAGAGCAGACACCCGCTTTTCTTCACTGACAGGGTAACTGTAGTTGGGTGTACTCTCCACTTTACTGTTAAGTTGGACTTGTTTTTAAAAAGTGGCTTTGCAAAGTTGATTACATTTATAAGAAAAAAAACAATTAAATGTTAAGCTGAAAAATATTTCATCCCATTAGTAAGATTTCTAAGATGAAATGTAGATAGTATTATAGAACTGTGAAATTTTCTAATTTACTTTTTATTTCCTTTCTAAATATTAATCTTAGAGTATTGCTATTAAAAGTAATTTCTTAGCTATTTTCAATGATGTAAATTACAAGTTAATGCTAATTTTTACATATTTAAGCACATATTTTCCTTACCTTAGAGTGTAGCATATAATGCCTGCATAATCACACCTTAAACCTCTCCTCATTTAGGTACATTTTATGCATACATATGGGACCATGAATATTTAATGTTGACTGTTATCCTTAAGGTAGGTTTTCACATTAATAGGGAAGAAAACTATTGAAGAGTATTGCATATATTTTATTTTAGGATTATCCTGTTGCTATTTTTACTAGAAAACGTTTCATTAGTTTCTGAAGAAGCTAATACTGAAGAAAACAAACACTTCTTGATTCTTCAGTGTCATTTAGCAAATGAGAGTTTATCTCCTCCCAGACCGCCTGGTCTCTTTCATATAAAACCCTTTGTTGGTCAGGTCATTTCCTTCTGAAATAATGGACTGTGAAGCCGTGTCTTGGCAGTAGGAAGCCTGTAACTGACAGCAGGAAACTGTGAGGCTGGCTGGCACTCACCCACGTGACAGAATGAAGACGAAATCGTGCTAGTGCGTAGAATGAACAGCAGGTCCTCGTCCTGCCCGCCTTACAGTTTTCTGTTCCCTGGAGGGCGTAGATCAGTGTGCTTAGCAAAGTCCATTTAAAAATCCCCAAACTCTTGCCATCTCACGCCCGTGTGCCCGATAAATTCAGCGAGTGTCATCTGGTGTCTGCAGGACGCCTCTAGCCTTCTCTCCTTAATATTCATTGACGTAGGCGAGACTGTGTGTAAAAGTAATCGTACGTGTCAGTTTTCAGAGTTTGGTTTTTTCCCTCCTGTTAGGAGCAGCGTTTACATTTTCTAAAGCAACAGGAGCGCCGCCAGCAGCAGTCTGCTTCTGAAAATGAAAAGCTTCAGAAATTGAAAGAACGCGTTGAAGCCCAGGAGAATAAGCTGAAGAAAATCCGTGCCATGAGAGGACAGGTGGACTACAGTAAAATCATGAACGGCAACCTGTGTACGTGCCCACCGACGCCCGCACTCCCCAGACCCACGGAGGCTGCGTGGGGGCCAGTGCCTGACAGTCGGTCACAGATGACCCCGACTTTCACTGGGGGATGTGCACAGTCGCTGCTGTCTGTACCTGAAGGACGGGGTTGGTTAGGTTAAATGAGGGCTGCAGACCTTCTTTGGTGCTGGCAGTGCTGCTGCAGAAAGATGCTGTTGCCCACTGCTGCCAGCAGCCCTCTGGGTGGGGAGCAGGTGCACCAAGACCTACTGGTACCACTGTGAGGGTGGCTTAGATTTTATCTGTGTGTTAAGATGCTTGCTCCTTCTGTGTGGACTGTTTGTGATTTTACTCCCCAGTTGAGTTAGTGCCTGCTTTGTGCTGGGGTCCTGGTCACAGGCATGGCAGTCCTGGCCTCAGGAGCCTGCAGTCTGTCGGGGTCCTGGCCTCAGGAGCCTGCAGTCTGTCGGGGTCCTGGCCTCACGGAGCCTGCAGTCTGTCGGGGTCCTGGCCTCACGGAGCCTGCAGTCTGTCGGGGTCCTGGCCTCACGGAGCCTGCAGTCTGTCGGGGTCCTGGCCTCACGGAGCCTGCAGTCTGTCGGGGTCCTGGCCTCACGGAGCCTGCAGTCTGTCGGGGTCCTGGCCTCACGGAGCCTGCAGTCTGTCGGGGTCCTGGCCTCACGGAGCCTGCAGTCTGTCGGGGTCCTGGCCTCACGGAGCCTGCAGTCTGTCGGGGTCCTGGCCTCACGGAGCCTGCAGTCTGTCGGGGTCCTGGCCTCACGGAGCCTGCAGTCTGTCGGGGTCCTGGCCTCACGGAGCCTGCAGTCTGTCGGGGTCCTGGCCTCACGGAGCCTGCAGTCTGTCGGGGTCCTGGCCTCACGGAGCCTGCAGTCTGTCGGGGTCCTGGCCTCAGGAGCCTGCAGTCTGTTGGTGCCTGGAGATACCTGGGTTAGCCTGACCACCTAGCTTTTGGACCAGTTGCCTTAGTTAATAGGCACTGAACAGTCAACACAAATAAAATTGTTGGCTGTATGAAATGTATTGTGGAATATGCGTGCCACGATTCTCCAAGGTGTGACACGAGATGATGGTGGAGGTCAGTATATTAACCAAAGAAGGCAGAGTGTCAGCTACGTGATGTTTTTTAAAGAGCCATACACTCACTACCCATCCCTGCCCACCCCTAGATCTTCTGTCATTGTCTTTATTACATTGTTGAAATAAGTTTTCTTTCTTTCTTTTTTTTTTTTGGTGGGAATGTAGCTGCTGAAATAGAGAGGTTTAGTGCCATGTTCCAGGAAAAGAAGCAGGAAGTACAAACTGCAATCCTGAGAGTCGACCAGCTTAGCCAGCAGTTGGAAGATCTAAAGAAAGGAAAACTGAACGGCTTCCAGCCTTACAACGGCAAGTTGACGGGGCCGGCAGCGGTGGAGTTAAAGAGACTGTACCAGGAGCTGCAGGTAGTTCTGGGGCCGGGGGTCTGCGGAGGGACTCTGAAACTAGCCTTACCTTTCCACTTCTCCCTCAGCGCAGGCAGGAAGTCTCGGAATTGGAAGCAGATTAATGGATTCTAGGTTAATAGTAGCCACAAAACGTATTTAGTACAAAATAATTTTTTAACAGCTTGTCAAGATATTATTCCTACAGTACGCCATTCAACATGTACAATGTGCAGTTCAGTGGATTTCAGTCCATCTCAGAGTTGGGCATCTGCCACCACAATAAACTTCAGATCATTTCTCACCCCCAGAGGAAACCCCACTCCCCGTAGCTGTCTCCCCCAGTCGCTGCATCCCCCAGCCCCAGGCAGCCCAGACTGCTTGCTGTCTCTGTGCCTGTTCTGGAGTGTCATGTAGGTGGCATCAAACAGTATGTGGTTCTTTGTGACTGGCTTCTAATGTTTCCAGTACAAAAGAGCTTAATTGGCAGTGTACTAACTAGTAAAGGATTAAGCTTTATATATATCAGGCCCTATGTAAACTGTGTTTTGATGAGATAATGCCTTTTTTAAATCCCAAGATTTCCATTAAAGATGGCCGTCACTCAGAGTTGTCATTCAGAGGGTGATCTTTCATGTCAGAAACAAGTTTTGTAATTCTACTGTTACTGATAGAAAAAAGTATTCTATCCTTTTACAAAATGAAGGTATTTGACTGTAGAGAGTAAAATCACGCGTTGCTGTTAAATTCTTTCACATAAATGCATAGAAATAATGTATAACAAGAATTTATGATTTCCTTTACATTTTAAGAGCCCTAGAATGTAACACAGGTTATTGCATCCACTACAGTGATGTCAGAGCGCTCTGTCTGGTGGTTTAGCGCATCTCTTTGGGGGTCCCCCAGCCCCCACAGTGAGGCACCTCACTCGGCCTGGGGCAGAGCAGACGCAGACTCTCAGCCGAGAGGCCCTTGTTCCAGGGCGAGTGTCCCTGACGCTTCCTTGCCAAGGACCATAGCCATTGTTTCCATATAATCATTCTTTGTGTGCGTCAAAGGTGACAGACACTTACAGGGCTTTGAGCTTTCTTTGTTCCGTAAGAAGTACACTTTGGCTTCATCTGTGCTGTGCCGTGAAATACTCAGGGCAGCGGCAGTGCATACATGTAAATACGGGTGAGAGCTTAATGCCGCCTTTCCTTTTTAATCTCCCTGGCCGAGTATTTGATCTTTTGATTAATGCTACTCGTAAAAATTGCTCTCTGTTTTGCAGATTCGTAACCAACTTAACCAGGAACAGAATTCAAAGCTCCAGCAGCAGAAGGAACTTCTGAACAAGCGCAATGTGGAGGTGGCCCTGATGGACAAGCGCATCAGTGAGCTGCGTGAGCGTCTCTACGGGAAGAAAATCCAGGCACGTGACAGAGAACAGGTTTCCGTGAGACAGACCGCTAAAAGGTCACCCAAACATCGCACGTCTCCCCTACATAGCACTCTGCCGTCTCCACCACAGCTGTAACATAAATTGTCCAGAAGCCCTCAAAGCTACAGTAGAACAAAGTCCACTTCCCCAAAGGCTCGTTTGTTTCCCAGCTGACAGAGTCCAGCCCTCAGCAGCCTGCAGCCCACGGGCTCTGGTGCCCTCCGTTCCCCCTCCCCCTGTGGGATGCTGAAATCTTCGTGCCTAGGCTGGGTCCCGGCTCTGCCATCTCAGGCTGAGCCACGTCAGGCAAGCTCCCTGACCTTTGAGCCTCGTGTCCTTGTCACACTGCCCTGGACTCGTCGTGAGGAGCCTTAGCAGTAACGCAGGTGGAGGTGTTCTGTGACTCCTGAGCAAAGGCCTACCGAAGGGGCTGGTGGTTTCTAGAGATTATCTGTATTTGGTGTTTTGAATTTCAAGGGTAGTTAATACTCACTGAAAACAAACTTAAGACAGTATAGAAATATTTGAAGGACAATGTGACCGCCCTCTCCACCCTGTTCTCATTCCCCAGAGGTGATAGAAGGGTTAGGTCACTGGCCCCAGGTCACTGGTGAATAAGTGGCAGAGCAGGATGAAGCTGCTGACCCTGGGTTCTGACCAGTGCGCTCAGCTCCCGCCCAGCGGAGGGAGAGCGGCCCCAAGGCCGAGGGAGCCGTCCACAGGACAAGGGAGCTGCTGGGAAATGTTTCGCTGTAACAGGCTTACTGTTTTATCCGCCAGCGGGTAGGTGTTAGAGAGAAGTGCTCCGTGGGGCTGTTGGTTGATGTCCTGTCTTTAAATTCACACCTCTCTGGATACTGATGTTCAGGGAGACGGAGCATCGTGCACACAGCTGAGTGCAGAGCGGGTCATGCCGAGCAGTGTGTCACCCTAGGCCTAAGATTGCTTTGAATCTGGGAGGATGCTGACTCTGCTTCCCTCCTGTTCTGCAGCTGAGCCGTGTGAACGGCACGTCATCACCACAGTCTTCCCTGAGCGCGTCCGGCAGAGTTGCCGCGGTGGGGCCTTACATCCAGGTGCCCAGCACTGGGAGCTACTCTGTCCCGGGGGACCCTGTCAAGCCCCAGTCTCTGACGATCACCTCCAGTGCCGCACATGGACGACCCAAACCCGGTGAGTGGTGCTGGCCCCTCTCCCTGTGGGCAGTGGGAAGCGCGGCCTGGGGGAGGCCGCTGCGGGCAGGCTCAGCATGCTGGCACGGGGATCACAGAGAACCCCACAGCAGCAGTCTGAGGCACCTAGACTTCTCCAGCGCTTTCAGGGAGCCGTGGGCCACCACAGTAAGGGTGATTTCACTGAACTGAGAATCTTCACTGCGTGGCTTTTCAAATCACTCAGCACTCTGCCCCTCGGGTCCCTTCTAGATGCAGCTTTTGTTTACCAGAGGCCACAGGGTCGGCAGCGCGCCTGCTGCGTCTGACTGCACCACTGTCCTGGCCCAGCCATCAAAGGCCTCCCTCCCTCCAAGCCAGGTGGTAGGGCCGTTGTTTTTTGCTCTGCTCAGCACGTCTGATAGAGGAAAAAGCCTAAACACTGTTACTTTGGAACTTGACCATGTAGATCCATGTGGTGTGATTAGACGTGGCCTCTTCCAGCCCTGTTGGTACATAATCCACCAGGCAGCGGCGAGGCCTTTCCTCGTCCTGCACCTCTGTCTTCCTCACTAGGACAGCACAGTCTTCCACAGAGGTCTGCTGGCCTGCCAGAGGAAGGCGGCTCTGTTTTAAACTATGGTGTCAAAAAGCCAGGACTTCTTTCTCAGGAAGAATTCCTTTGTGGCTGTGGTTGAACATCCTCCCCTAACATGTAGACTCCCAGAACCCGGGTATTAGTGTCCTGAGACACTTCTACGTGTGTGGACCCAGCACTGCTGGCTCGGCCCCAGCACGCCTGCACTGGGAGTACCTTGTCAGGACTGGTGACAAGTTTGTGCTGGTCTTCTGCTTCATTTCCTCTTGCCTGGCCCCAAGGATGAGCAACGACACAACCACCACTCCAGCTGTGGAGTCTGGGGCCTGTTCTGAGACCAGGCAAGAGAAGGGGTCCCCAGCCAGTCCCCTTCACCACCGTGCTCTCTCTCAGAGCCGCCAGAGGCTGCAGCCCTCCTTGAGGGGCTGTTCTTTATAGTGTGACCCGCCCTGTGGTAGGAGGAGATACCTGTCTGCTCCCAACGGCAGGTAATCAGCACAGCCAGCTGCCTCTCCGCTGACTTTATTTTAAAACTTTCCAACCTGAGACTGCCTCCCGTGCCCCTTTCTGTCTGGGTGTGCCCAGTGCAAAGAGACAGTCACCCTGAGCCCTGAAACACACATCCTTCCTGAGTTCAGCACTAGCCTTAGTCTCTCCACTGCACTTTAAGGTGACCCCATAACAGGAGCCCCAGGAACCCCAAACTGGAGGGGAATCCCAGGCCCCAAGGTGGAGCTGTGGCGTTTGGGGGATCTGACCTCTCACTGTCGGCTCTTCTGGTTCTCGTGTCACAGATCACAGCAGACCCAGAGTGGCCAGTCCATGGACAGTGTCCGATCTGGATGTCGGGCTGGCCCACGGCTCGTCACGGCACTCTGCAGGCCCGTTTGTAAACCGTACGTCAGCTGGCAGGCTTAGCGGGTGCTCACGGGTCTCTTTAATGTGCACTCAATCAACAATCGTGTGCACTAAATCAACAATCAGTTTATTTTTCCAAACTGATAAAGGTCTGCTCCTGGCATGTGAACTCAACAAAGACACCATGTAGATGTCAGCTGTCCCAGCTTCTCAGATCATCCTGAGAAAAGGGGCGAGACAGGTGACCGACACTGGCACAGCAGGGGAGGCTTTAGGAACAAGGGTTTTCTGAGTTCATCATGATGGCTTTGGTTTTATCTTCGGTGCAAGAATCTCCCTTCATACTCAAAGAGAAGTGTCCCTTTTTAATAAAAATAAGTGCTCTTCCTTCCTACCTCCTGCCTCGTTCCGGAGAAAGGAGAAAATTGCACTGATTCTGAGTCTGTCGTGGCTGATGTCCAGAAAACCTCCTCAAGCAGCTGGACGGCCACGGGGTGACCCCAAGAGGCACACTGGCTCCTGCCAGCCCTCCTGGGTTCCTGGGGGCTCTGCTTTTCCCTGTCATCAGGGCTCCCCCCTTGGTGTGCCCTTGGGGAGCCTACACATTCCTGGCCATGTGTCGTCCTGACCTGGAGGGAGCTGACAGGCCACAGGAACGAGGGGCAGCTAGGACTGGACCATGGAGGCCGCATCAGGGCCCTGTGGGGCTTGGCCAGCACGTGGTGGGTAGCCTGCAGTGACGTTTAGCAGTGAGCGCAGCGGGGCTGCAGTGGTGCCGTCCGGCTCCGGCTCACAACTGCTCGTCCAGCACTCGTGCCACCTCCTCCTGTGGCTGAGCCCAGAGCACATCTGAGATGTGTCTCCTCCTTGTCTGTGAGCTGGGTTTGACTCAGGCGTTACTCTTGTGCACAGGACTGGTTTCCCTGCTGACCGTGCTGGAGACTGGCTCAGTGGCGGGGAGAGAGGCTGTGTTCTCAGGAACACCAGCTGTTCATTTGGTTTCTTTGAGCTCCAGAGTGCTGATGGGCCAGCATGGCTACCATGCCGACCCAGTTCAGCCCCTGTGGCTGTTAAGGGGAAGCACTGGCGCCTGCGTCACCTGTAACTCTGGCCCCTCAGATGTCACAATACGTAGATGTCACTGCCTGTGACCTTGTGTCAGCAGAACGAATGTTTCTGCACCTTCTTCAGTTTGGAAAATGCTCTGTAAAATGTTGCTTTCCAGAAGGCTTGGGGTTGCTGACTGGCTTTTTGATCACTGTGGCCAAATGACAGTCTGCTCTTGCTGCTGCTTCTCAGATCAGGGAGGACTGACACTCGCCTCCTGGGATCGTAAATTCCTTCAGAGAACAGAAATTCCTCGCAGATTAGAGTCTGTTTTCTTTTAATAATGGAAGCTGCACAGGTCACAGCTGTACGTGACGGTGTCAGTGCCTCTTCTGTTCCGTGGCTTTGATAGAGTGGGTTTGACCTGGACTTAAATGGGGGCCCAGAGCACTTTCCTGCAGCCCCCCGTCTCTGCCCCCGCAGCAGCCCTGTACCTCACGCACTGAGGCTTGGTTATTGAGCCTGCAAATGGGCTGAAACGCTGCTTGCTCCGAGTCTGGTAACATTTGGAAGGTGACTCCGGCGTTGACGGTAACTTGCCAAGCAAGTCCCTGCCTGGGCCTTGTGCACAGGTGTGTCGTGTTTGACAGGACGCAGCTGGCCTTCCTGGGGGTCATCAGCTGTGGATGGAGGGCCGTCAGAGTGTGATGCCCAGCGCTGTTTTCGTTTCTGACACGTGGTCTTGATTCCACGAACATCAGGAAAGTTACTAAATCCTGTGTTCTTTCCTAGCTAACGATGGAAACTGGCCCACACTGAAACACAATTCTAGCTCCTCAGTGAAGCCGGCCGCCATGGCCAGTGCGGACTGGAAGGACGCGGGCGTGGAGGGGCCTCTTAAGCAGGCCACCATCTCAAGCCAGCCTTTGCCCTTAGCACCTTTAGGAGCCACGGAGAAACTGGTAGGCCCCTTGTCCTTGTAACAGAAAACACAAGCAAGCTCTCCACTCTGTTGCTGCTCTGCCTGAGGTCTTAATCTCAGGGATGTGGGGAACCGTTAGGCAAGGGAACCCTGGTGATGCCCTAAATTAGACTCCAAGTCCCGGAGGAGCTAATGAACCTTAAAACCTCGAGCGCTGCCCGTAGTGTAAGCATCCGTTGGCCAAGGTCAGTTCTGTTGCAGACAGTCTGTGACCATGTGGTGGGTTTGACCCTGGCCCAGTACTCTGTTTCTCGGTCAGGAAGCCCATCTGAAGGATTACAAGTCCTGCTCTGTGTTCTCTTGTGACAGATGGAAGTGTGCTTAACTTTTCAAAGGCTGACTTTTTTTTCCTTAACATCTCAATTTAGGGCATTGAGATTGGTAAAGTGCCACCACCCATCCCAGGGGCGGGCAAGCAGCTGCCTCCAAGCTACGGGACATATCCGAGTCCTACACCTTTGGGCCCAGGGTCGACAAATTCCCTGGAGCGGAGGAAGGAGGGCAGTCTGCCCAGGCCCAGCACAGGCCTGCCAAGTCGGCAGATGCCCGCCCCACTGCCGCCGGCCAGCAGTGCCCACCAGCCGGGGACCTCGCAGCAGATTCAGCAGAGAATCTCTGTGCCCCCAAGCCCCACGTACCTGCCATCGGGGCCGCCTGCGTTTCCAGCTGGAGACGGCAAGCCTGAGCTCCCCCTGACCGTGGCCATCAGGCCCTTCCTGGCTGACAAAGGGTCGAGGCCGCAGTCTCCCCGAAAAGGCCCCCAGACGGTGAACTCCAGCTCCATCTACTCCATGTACCTGCAGCAGGCCACTCCCCCGAAGAGCTACCAGCAGGCCATGCACAGCACCGTGAACAAGTCGGTTAGAGCAGGTACCGTGGGCGCACGTGCGTGGTGTCCTGGGGGGAGTTACACTTGCAGTTGGGAAAATACCCATCTCTGTCCCTGTGTTTGGGCCATGTGCTATTTAGGATTAAACTTCGTTCTTACGTAGTTTGGCTGGGGTGTCACTTGGAGAGACGCTTGGAGAGACGGGTATAAAGGTTAGGATGCATTTGAGCAGTTTTGCAAATGGATCATGCCAGTGATGTTCTGTCCAAGTGTCCGCGGAAATCCAGTGTCTGTGAGATCTTAAGAATTCCATCTTTTTCCTCCTGCTTCCTAGCTGTGCCAGGAGATACCAGTGAGCGGGTGGGGGCGGGGAGCTCTGCCTTCTTCGCTGGCCCCTGGCGTTTGTGGCAGTGGTGGAACCAGCACTCCTGGGGTGGGCTATCTTCTACTTTAGGCGCCCGCTCCCAGGTCCCAGAGGGGACGCTCTGCTAGGGAGGCAGGAGGGCACAGCCCAGCTCCACGCTAACCCCCAAGGCCACAGGTGGTTCTGGCCCTCAGATAGGATCCTGGGCCTCCCTAGACGTTCTAGGCATGGGCTGCAGCTCCAGGCTCTCAGTTCGGGGATTCCTGGGAGTGCCAGGACCTCCCCCGTGAAGGTGCCGTGTACCTGTGGGCTTGGACCATTCTCAAGAGCTCTTGGGCCATCAGCCTGAGCTTAGCCCTGGGTCAGCTGCGTGTTTCGTTTTCCTTGGGCAGAAAACAAGGAAGGCTTGTTTGGGGCAGGGAGGTCAGGTCAGCGACCTTTCCTTAATCTGGAAAAGCCACTGTTTTGGAAACTCCAATGTAAAACCGGTAAATTGGAGAAGACATGTCACCTTTTGTAAGGAGTCAGTAGAGGTTCTCTGCGCAAAGCATTTCCTTGGGGTTTAAACCAGAATTTACAGCAGAAAAGACACCTGCATCTCTCAGGAGCCAACTGCCGTGCAGAGGTGCCCACAGTGCCCTGATGGGGCAGTGACCTGGGCCTCCTGAGTCCTCCCTGTGGACAGAGGTGCCCAGTGCCCTGACGGGGCAGTGACCTGGGCATCCTGAGCCCTCCCTGTGGGCAGAGGTGCCCAGTGCCCTGATGGGGCAGCGACCTGGGCCGCCCTCACCCGCCTTCCCTGTGCTTTGTGTCCCCCCAGTGTACGGCAAACCCGTCCTACCCTCGGGCTCCACCTCCCCATCCCCGCTGCCGTTCCTCCATGGGTCGCTGTCCACCAGCGCACCGCCGCCCTCAGAGTGTGCTGAGAAGGAGCCTGAGCAGGACAGCCCCGCGCCGCCTGGAGACAGCAGCAGCGTGGAGAACCTCCCTCGGCCGCTCAGCCCCACCAAGCTCACACCCATCGTGCACTCACCGCTGCGCTACCAGAGTGACGCCGACCTGGAGGCCCTGCGCAGGAAGCTGGCCAATGCGCCGCGGCCCCTGAAGAAGCGCAGCTCTATCACAGAGCCCGAGGGCCCTGGTGGGCCCAACATCCAGAAGTTGCTGTACCAGCGCTTCAACACCCTGGCTGGCGGCATGGAGGGGGCCCCTTTCTACCAGCCGAGTGCCCCGCAGGACTTCATGGGCACCTTGGCAGATGTGGACAATGGGAATGCCAACACCAACGGGAACCTGGAAGAGCCCGCCCCGCCCACGGCGCCACTGCCTGCCGAGCCGGCCCTGTCGTCAGACGCCAATGACAATGAGCTGCCCTCCCCTGAGCCAGAGCAGCTCATCTGTCCCCAGACCACCCCCCACCCCTCGGAGCCTGCGGAGGATGACAACAACAATGTGGCCACTGTCCTGCCCACAGAGCAGCTCCCGAGCCCTGTGGCCGAGGACCCCTCTCCTGGGGATGAGCCCCTTCCCCCAGTGCCCCTGCCCTTCACTGCCCCCTGGCCTGCAGCCTCCACGGTGAGTGTCTCCCCAGAGCCGCTCCTTTCTAGCCCCTCAGTCAGCCCGGGGTCACTGCACACTTCCCTGGTGCCAGGCTTGGCGCTGGGTCCTAGGATAGTGGAAGCCAGGCCAGACCTGTCCCTCCCCGCATCGGGCTACGTGGGGAGGACAGACAGGTCAGTGAGGATGGGGGGTGGTGCTGAGTGTCCCCTCAGCCAGGAGTCGCTGTGCCATTTAGGAAGGTCAGTGTGAATGTGGGGGGTGCTGAGTGCCCCCTCAGCCAGGCATCGCTGTGCCATTTAGAAGATCAGTGTGTGGGGGGCGGGGGGTGCTGAGTGTCCCCTCAGCCGGGCATCGCTGTGCCATTTAGAAGATCAGTGTGGATGGGGGTGGGGGGCAGGGCGCGCTGAATGTCCCCTCAGCCAGGCATCGCTGTGCCATTTAGAAGATCAGTGTAGGGGGTGCGGGGGGCGCTGAGTGTCCCCTCAGCCAGGCATCGCTGTGCCATTTAGAAGATCAGTGTGGATGGGGGTCGGGGGCAGGGTGCGCTGAATGTCCCCTCAGCCAGGCATTGCTGTGCCATTTAGAAGGTCAGTGTGTGGGGGGCGGGGGGCACTGAGTGTCCCCTCAGCCGGGCATCGCTGTGCCATTTAGAAGGTCAGTGTGTGTCAGGCGGGGGGCACTGAGTGTCCCCTCAGCCAGGCATCGCTGTGCCATTTAGAAGGTCAGTGTGTGGGGGGCGGGGGGCACTGAGTGTCCCCTCAGCTGGGCATCGCTGTGCCCCTCGGGGAGCGAGCTCTCTAGGAATTCCAGTTAGGAAGCTTGGAAATCACATCCCACACTCCCTCCCACGGCATCTCCTAGAGGAGGGCTCACAACCCTGAGATGCCCAAGGGCAGTGCTCCCCTCTGGAGGTGCTCGGTGACACACAGGGCCGGGCCTGCTCGGGGGCTGAGTCCGTGGGTCTGACACCCCAGGTGCTGCTCCCTGGGGACCCCTGCCTTGGGGTGAGTTCCTGTAGCTCCTTCCTTTCCTGGGGGACCAGGTGTGGCTCTTGAGCTGGTGAGCACTTTCCATCAGAAGCTTGCTTCTTCCTTCCAGGGCAAACGGACCAATCTGAAGAAGCCCAACTCCGAGCGGACTGGGCACGGCCTGAGGGTCAGGTTCAACCCGCTGGCGCTGCTCTTGGACGCGTCTCTGGAAGGAGAGTTTGATCTGGTGCAGAGGATCATCTACGAGGTGAGTAGCGGCCCTCGCTAGCAGAGTGCTGTCGGGGTGGGCGGGGTGCTCACGTGTGCCCCGTGTCCCAGGTGGAAGACCCCAGCAAGCCCAACGACGAAGGGATCACCCCCCTGCACAACGCAGTCTGTGCCGGCCACCACCACATCGTGAAGTTCCTGCTGGACTTTGGGGTCAACGTGAACGCCGCCGACAGTGACGGATGGTGAGGCTCTGCTTGGGGTGTGGGCTTGGGGAGGGTACGGTACCAGAGGAAAAAGTGCATGTTCTAGAAAATGGGGCAGTCTAGAAGAGACGGAACAGCAACGTGCCCGTCAGCCTCCAAAAGACAGCCATCGTCAGCGCCCCCGCCTGCCCGTCTTCTCCGGAGCGCTCCCTCAAAGATGGCTGTGGCGGCCTCCTGATTGACCCGGTAGCCTCAGCACCTCATGGTCACACGCTCACCACGTTTCCACATGGCAGCGTGGTGGTCTTGAAACCCCTCGCAGGCCCCGTGATGACATCTCGGCTGTCTGCCACGAGCTTTCACTTGATTTAGGGTTAGGGCTCGGCCGCCCAGGGCCTGCGGGGTCTCTTAGGTGTTATTTGGGACTTCCAGAAAGCTGTTTTGCCCCCACCCCTCCTTTTTTAAAGCTGTATATGTGGTGCAAAGCAGTTTATCAGTGGAAATCATGCCGTGAAAGAGCTGCGAAGCGTGTGGGCACCGAGGCACGGTGCCCCCCGAGAGAGCTTCCCATTGGAGCAGCTTGTTTGTGGGTGGTTGCGGCCCTGCAGGGCCAGATGTGCATCTTGACTTCCTGTCTGATCCAGGACTCCGCTGCACTGTGCCGCGTCCTGCAACAGCGTTCACCTCTGCAAACAGCTGGTGGAGAGCGGCGCCGCCATTTTTGCCTCGACCATCAGCGACATGGAGACTGCTGCGGACAAGTGTGAAGAGATGGAGGAGGGCTACATTCAGTGCTCCCAGTTCCTCTACGGTACGTGGGGGCTGTGGAGTGCAGCGTGACTCCTGTCCTGGGCCCCGGGGCTGGCACACAGCACGATGCTGACCCAGCAGCTGCCGCCCGGGCCCAGAGGAGCTGCGAGGCTGTGAGGCTCGCTTGCCTTCTCCGGGGCAGCCGGGCAAGTCTCCCTAGGACGAGGCCACACCGCCCCTTTGTCCTGAAAACATTTGAAAATCGGTGTGGTTAGAAGGATTCTGCGCCCCGCGCGTATGTCTCGGGGCAGGACAGGGTGGTGGAGGTGGCTGGGCAGCACCTTGTGTGCCTGTCACTGCTGGCGTGCACCCGGCTCTGAGAAAGGCTGGAGGTCTGTCCAGACCCAGCGTGTCCCAGGACCAGGCCAGGGCAGCCCAGCCACTCTTCTCTGGGGAGGCTGGGCCATCCTTGAGGTGGCCTAGGGCTTTGCCGTTTGTCCCCATTTGATGAGTGACACTCACATTCTAGTTAAGCTGTGATGCGTCCCGTCCCAAGGGTTAGACAGCCGGGAGTCACTCGCTCAACACGTGATGTGAGAGCCTGCCGTGTGCCAGCCCCTTCTCAGGCCCCGGCATGCCACGGTAAACAAAGGCTGCGCCCACAGAACAGGCAAGCCACACCCGTCTCCCCGACCACCCAGCTTGGCGGAATAGACATGCAGCTGGCTTTCGGGCTGTGTGACAGGCTGGGGTGCACAGGTCCCCAGTCCAGCCAGCGTGGGGGAGGGGGTGCAGCCACTGTGGCACCCACCCAGGGAGGAGTTGGGAGCTCGCCCGTCTGGCATCTGAGCCAGACGTCCAGGCAGAAGGCCCTTCCCTGGGCTGCAGTCCCTGCCTGGCCGTGAGTGGGCTGGGTACGTATGGCTCAGGTGGTGTCACAGCCATTTGTAATGACTTTCTGCCGTCCAGGAGCGATATGGTTCTTTTAATTATTGCTTTGGGAAGTTTGCACTAGATGTAACTTGCAAGTTTCACCCTTTCAAAAGTCTTTTAGAACAGCACGCTGCTGCCTCTCGACTCATGAGTTTAGAGAGAAGTGCTGCCTTGCGTGGCCCTGGCTTCATGGCCACGCACATGTGTCTCAGCCTCCTGGAGACAGACCCGGCCAGTGGTGTGCCCTCCTGGCCCCCAAGCAGAGTGCCTCCCCTGCAGACCATCCTCTGGGAGGCTGACCGTCTGCTCTCTCCTCCAGGGGTACAGGAGAAGCTGGGGGTAATGAACAAAGGTGTGGTATATGCGCTGTGGGACTACGAGGCCCAGAACAGCGACGAGCTGTCCTTCCGTGAAGGGGACGCCATCACCGTGCTGAGGCGCAAGGATGAGAGCGAGACCGAGTGGTGGTGGGCCCGCCTGGGGGACCGGGAGGGCTACGTGCCCAAGAACCTGCTGGGGGTAAGTGCTCACAGCGCCGCTGCCCGGTCTCACTCCAGGCTGTGTTGGGGGGTTAACAGTCCGGCCTACTTGCCGTAAGTCAGCTGAGTCACAGAACACGGGCACAGAGCGACCATGGGGAGACGCGGCGTCCCCCTCTGCACACGGTCAGAGCACACTGCGGGCGCCACTGGGCCGTCTGCTCTGTGGGAGCGGCATGTGGCCTGGGGGCGTGCTTCGTTCACGGGACGTCACACCCCGCTTCTCAGCCCAGTGTAGACACCCTGATCTGGGATTCTCTGCTCTCCAGAAATCTCCTCAACGAAAGCGAGGGTGGGGAGGCGCAGCTTGAAGGTTGCCACCTCTGTTAGGTTTATGAGCAGCTCGCCTGTAGCAGAGGAGGAGAGAACCACCCGTTGGATGGGCCTCACAGCCTTCTCTCCAGGGCGCCTCAGGGGCTGGCAGATCTCCACTCACTCTGCAGACCCTCACTGGGCACCTTCCACATGCCAGGCGCTGGAGGGGAGCCCAGCAATGACCACAGAGGCCTGCCCTCCGGGGTGCCCATCCTCGGGGGCCACACAGACAGTACACAAGAGGGACAAGTCGACTACGAAGACTCTGGGCAGTCTGCAGTGCCACCAGAGACAGAGGCTGCTGATAGGGCAGGTCTCCGTGAGAGGGGGACTCGGCACGTGGGTCTCCGGGTAGGAACACAGTGGCCGCCGCCCACTTGCTTCTGCACCTGGAGGCCCAGTGGCGAGGCCTGGCTGCTCCTCAGCGCCCTCTCCTGGCACTAACGTGTTTCTGTTACGCCCCAGCTATATCCACGGATCAAACCTCGGCAGCGGACCCTCGCCTGAACGGCCCTCGGGAGTGCTGTGCGGCCTGGCAGCTCCGAGCCGCCGAGACCTGTACTGCTGCCTCACCAGGACGGCGGACACCAGCGTCCTCATGGTGCTCACCCAGCAAACGGCACCCACAATGTGAACCCCGCGGTTGTGAGGGAGGGCCCTTCCCCAGTTCGTGGGTAACAGGAAAAGGTCCTCATGCCTCCAAAGAGTCGCATTTTGCCAATTACTGTAAATTCAAATAAAACCCCACTTTCGGAACCCCCGCCCTGCTGCCAGCCCTGTAATTACCATTGGCGGGTTGCCAGTGAAGACAAAGCTCTCACTGACTTCCTTATCTCATCCTAGACGTCACCACTGCTGTCCCCACCCCCCGTGCTATCTCCCGTTAGCACGCACCCCTCTTCCCTTCAGTTACAGAGGAGCCCTGGGCGGGCACTGCTCAGTACTGTGCCCAGTGCAGGTGTGCGGTGACGCCCTGGCCCCAGTGCCCCCACTGTGTCCGGGTTTGGGGTGTCAGTCGGGTTCACAGGAAGGCTGGGTGCTGCCCGGTGCTGTGGCCTGAGGGCTATAAAGACAGAGCCACAAGCGGAAGAGACGGTTAATTTATTCACAGAACCTCAATAGCCACTTCCCTCCCCTTACCCACAGCACCCTCCTGCCCCAGAGCTTACCTCCGCTCTGAAGGCACACGGAGGCAGGGCCGGGGTGGCGGGGACAGGACGGAGGGCTGGGCAGGGGGAAGGGCTCTGCACCCTAGATGCACGGCGCACTAAAGCACGTCACTCACGCTGGCCTCGTACGTACAGCTTTTATACGCCAAGAGTATTTTTTGACTTTACAGTCACAGTACCACAACTGCGCTGGAGGTGGTGTTTTTCCTCATTGAAGTGTAGGCCCACAGGCTTTATTTTCCATGTGTGAGTCTTGTGTGTAATTTATGTATAAATGTACGTAGTCCCTGACGCAGCGCTGTAGTTGGTCACCGTGGCCGCTGCCCTGCAGTGTGGTGAGGAACAAGGAGTGTGACCACTGTCCCCTGGTCTGCTCGCCATCATGTCATTGCACAATAAACGGCTCCCACACTGCCAGCAGCCTGGAGTCTTTGTTATGTGTGTATCTCCCTGCACACAATGAGGCAGTGTTGATGAGTATTTTCAAAATAGGTTTAATCATAAGCTTTATATATAAATTGCTGTACAGTCATTTTAATAAGGTGAAAGAGTAAGAAGTACAAAACACAAAGCTGGCGCCTTTCCCTTAGTGAATTATCAAAAGTTTGCTCACAGCCCAAACGATGGACAGTCTAGAAAACAGGCTAAGGCGGACTCTGTAAACTGGCACATTAAAGATGGACCAAACTCCAGTACCACGCAGGAACCTGAGGTGCCCTACCCAGCTGGTTTCTGTGGCGGTTAGTGAACGCTGTGGGCAGAACCTTGTAGTAAACTTGGGAACTTGTAAAAACACTGTGCAGAGTACGCTAAAGGTAGCTTAGCAGTAGCGTAGCTCAGTCTCCCACCCCCAGTTAAGTATCAGCAAGATAATACACACCCTAAAACGTGAGCTTTGAAAGCATTAATCAACTGTGTACATATTGCACTAGGTAAGTGAACACTTCTCCAAATACTTGAATGCACCCCAGCACTGCAGGACGGGCCTTGTGCATCGCACACGCAGGAGCGGGGCCCCCGTCGGCTGTCACTGGTCCCGTGATTCATAGAGGAGCTTGGCAGCCTGCGAGCAACCAAAAATAAACACGAGGGAAGCAGGCTGGCGCCTGGACCAGCCTCTGCCGCAGGGAAGTGGGTGGACCCTCGCCCCCGGGCCCTGCATCACCTTGTGCATTGCTGCCAGCCACGCTACCGCCGGCCTCTTGCTAGTGTTTGCGTCTTCCCCGGCCGTCAGCTTCAGCTGGGTCACGCCCTCTGCGCCGGGAACGGTGTATTGCAGGAGCATGCCAGAGGCCCGCATGCTGCCTCCTGGGAGGGACACACAGGTAGGAAGGCACCTGGAGGCCGGCCCGCCTGCCCGCTTGCCCAGGGCGGTGCCCAGCCCTCCTCCTGGTCTGAGCCCCTGGGGCCCCCTTGGAAACACAAGTTCTGACAACAGGGATGGTCCCCCCGCCAGCCTGGTGCCTTCAGTGCCCGGCCCATCCCCAGATCACTGCGGAACCTCACCCCTCCACACACGTGCGATTCCGCCCTCCCGGAACAAGGGCGGCTCCCTTCCAGCACTGCAGCCATAACTGGGTTCAAGGCCCCTCCCTGACCTCGGCCTGCCAGCAACCCGACTGACTGCACCTGGACTGGGAAGGCTGCAGGGCTCAGCCAGTGCAGAGGCCCCCAGAACACCCAGCGAGGGTGGGTGACAGGCCACCCAGAGTTGCTCGCTTAGCTGTCCAAGCTGAGGAGACTGTGCAAGCAAGGGCACGTGTCCAAGAACCACCGGGTGTCCTGCTCGCCCACCCCAGGGCTGACATGCCACCTGGACCGGTTCCTGAGGTGTGACACCAGAGACCTCATCACGGGGCGACTACCCTGTGGGACACAGACCATCTGGGCGGAGACATGTCGCTGCACTGCAGGCCTCGTTCTAGCACTGCCCTGAGCACGTGCCACTGGGAGCAGCGCCCAGTGCGGAGAAGACAACGGGTGCCAGCCTCCCGCTGACCTGCAGCTGCATCTTCTGCCTGCCGGGACTTGAGAACTCCACTCTGAGCAACACCAGGCCTTCTGGTGCAAGAAAACCCTGCCTCTCGGAGGGTGCCTCCATCAGACACAGCTCTCGGAATCAGAGCTGAGGCTGGACAGGCAGGCACTGTCCACGCGCAGAACTCCGCTCCTGAAGGCTGCTGACCTAGGCTTCTGTGGGCCAGTCTTGCTTTAAAAGCCCAGAGCCAATCGATTTGTCCCTTACTGCTTCCTGGCAGGCGTTCCCATCTACGCTGAGAACGGGCTGACAAACACTGACTGTTTGTAAATAAAGTTTTATTAGAACACAGCCACAGCCACCTGTATCCTTACTGTCTATGGCTCCTTTCACGCTCAGTCAGAGAGACGTTAACAGCCACAAAGTCAAACAGACTTACTATCTAGCCCCTGACAGCGTGCTGACCCTGGTGGTCTAGATGCCCAGGGGTGCTGGGCAGGCTCCTCTTGCTGCCTTCAGCTCCAGTGACTTCCCATCGTCCCTGCCCTCCCCCACAGGCAGACAGGGCTGGGGTTTAAAAACCTTGTGGCAGAGCAGAGCGTGCTGTATCCCAACACCGCCACGAGGGGGCACTTCAGCTAGGCCTTCACTGCACCCCAGGGCGGTGCCTGCATCTGCAGAGGGCTTGGAGCCCGCTGCCCAGACTGGCCTTCTATGCGGGTGTCGGGGGTGGGGGCAGCCTCCCCTCAGAGCAAGTGCCAGGAGGCAGCAGGCAAGAGGGGCAACAGGTGGACCCCAGCTCCTCCAGGTCCTGCCCTTTCCACAGGCAGTTCTGGCCTCACACCAGGCCTCTTCAACTTGCACCTGCCAGGTGACCAGCTTGGTGCCATTTGTGACATCCCTGTGCCTACTAGGGTACAGGCCCTTGGGGACAGACGTGGTGAAAGCACCAGCCTTGCCCTTTCAGAACTCATCCAGGCAGCTGAGACAAAGTGCCAGAGCGCCCTGGGGGGAAGGAAGGTTTTGGGTACTGGGGTGCTGCAGCCCTGCTCCTCCACACCCCAATGCCCCCGAGACTCGGTCTCCGCCCACCTCTGTCTCCCCAGAGCCCAGGACAGCGCTGGCCCAGGTAACGACAAAGTCGTGAAAACTGGGCAGGGCTTCCCGTGGGACTGCAGAACCGAGCAACTACATACATTTTCTTCTGCCGGGACATCACTGTTCATGCTTTGAATCACAACAGCCGATCACCATTGTGCATGGGGACATCATGAGTCAAGCTCCAACTCAATGGCAGCTAACACCACCACCCACATACTGGACCAACCCACTCTCTTAAATCCACCCAAGTGAATGTGAGCTTGTCCAAGCCCCTTGGCGTAGACGGCCCCCGGGACAGAAGGTAGGCATAGGAAAAGGGCCCACAGCATGCTGGGAGAGCCACAGAGGACGCTGACCTTCAGAGACGGGCTGGCTCTCCAGGAGACTGGTATAAGTGTACGTGTCTTTTTCTATATCAAGAAGGTAGGCAGCAGTGGAGAGAAAGAAGGAACAATCAAGAGTCCATTGGAAAACGGAAAGCAAGACAGATTGCATCACGGGATCTGTACAGACGCTTTGCAGGACAGAGCAACCCACGCTGGGGAGAGGCTGCTGCGGGGACCCAGACGGGCTGAAGTGCGCTAGAAGCTCGCCAAGGAGATGTATAAAGGAGTGCAGTTCACCCAGACGCTCGCAGGAGGGGAGAGACGGTAAGAAACACTGGTTCCTGATCAGCAACCACGGCTAACCTTTTTGGAAATCTGGGTCATTCCAACAATACCTGGAGCTTTACCTTGGTGAAACCCAACAGTCAACAAACGATATTATGAGAGCATTTACAAAGGGAAAGTCATCAGACACGGGCAAGTTTTCCCTCAGTATTTACATCCCGAACCCACATTCAACAGGTGGGTTCCTAAAGCCGATTACCAAACACCAGCCTGAGTGACAGACGGCCTTTGCAGAGCACAGGCCCCTCATGCCCGGCGACGCGTTACCTCCAGGAGGGAGTCCTTCCGTCAGGATCCGCATGGTGGAAATACGTGTAATTTCAATTTCATAATGGCCGTCTCCATCCAGAACCAAGAACCTATGAGAAACAAAATGGATTTTCAGATCACGTTACTCTGCGTTACTGGGTTCTACCACTTGTAACAAAGCATTGGGTGCCAAAGAGGACTCTGGCTCTTACCTCTGATTGTTGGAAAGACGGCAAACCATCGTTTCGGGTGTCTCTGACTTTCCAAAAGTCACAAGGAAGGTAGCACCTTGGGACACAAAAACAAATGGGAGAAATTCAATTTTGCCTCTTTGAGACTTAAGTCCAGCTGGCACAGCCCTCTCCCTGGCCAAGTAGGAAAGCTGCCTGGGGCTAGATTCCCAGTGGAGCTACACATACAAAGAGGATAAAACCAACACCTAGAGGAACAGCACCAGTGTCTGCCCAAGGACCACTTCCACTGAAGCAAAGGCAGCGATGGCTTCAGGGGTTCAGAGGAGAACAAGAAGCCCTGCCTCCCAGGGTGTTCTGCTTTCAGATGCTCCCAGGGACTCGCCTGCATTCTTCAGAGGTGGGGTGCAGGGGGCTCATCAGAGAAAAGGCGCAGATCTCAGCAGGAGCCCCTCCTCCCACATGCTGAGCTGGGTATATGACCCCCATGACCGGGCGACAAACGTAGGAAGTACCACAGAACCTGCACCCGCCAGAGCGCCCAGGAGTGGCCCTGCTAGGGCAAGGAGGAACCAGGCAGGGGCAGGAGAACAGACAGGAGCTGGAGGACAGCGCCACCGTGGAAGGCCAGTGTCGGGGAGGGGGCTGTGTCCTCCTCAGGAGCTCCGGGGAATCCCTTAGTCTCGGGACAAGTCGCCCTCCAGAACCAGAAGATGGCTTGTTGTGCCACTTGGTCAGTGGTTTCTGAAACCACACTGCCCGGTACAAACTCAGAGGGCTCAAGCCGGGCCAGCGGAGTCGCCGCTGCAGGAGAGGAGCCCCTGGAGCACCTTCTCGTGGGTCAGGAGCAGTGGTGGCAGAGGAGAGAATGTCCAGGGCAGTCACCGCGGACACGGGACACGGGCCCGGCTTACCGCTCACGAGCACTTTGAGCTGCTTGTCGTAGAATTCGGCCTCCCTCTGCGACACCAGGGCGCACTCGGCGCACTGCCGCACGGGGTCCACGAAGCACATGCGCGGCAGCGGCACCTTCTGGCTGCAGCACCTGTCGCAGAAGCACTTCCCGCATCGGCGGCAGTGGTGCTGTGGGCGGGCGAGGCGTGAGAGCGGGCGTCCGCGGTCAGACACCGACCCGCGCCCGCCCAGCTGACGCGGACACGGGCCCGCCCACCCGGCCGCCCCTCAGACACGGACACGCGCCCGCCCACCCCTCAGACGCGGACACGCGCCCGCCCACGCACACAAACGTGTGCCGGCACGCCCTGCATGCCCAGCCACACACGGACACACGCACACCCCACCCAGGGTACTGATGAAAATGTAAAACCAGTCATACAGCACCCACGCTCCCCATAGGAACAACACCCATGCCCCCAAAGGAAGGACATTACATGGGGGCCCCCTGCTCCCCCGGCCACCCGTCCAGTCTGTGGCCTCGTCTCACCTTCCTGGTGATGAAGTCAAACTTGGTGTCGCACTGCATGCACCTCGGACACTAGGAGAGAGGACGGCAGACGGTTAACGCGGAGCGTCACCCGGCCCCACGGCTGAGGCGCTGGGAAGGCAGGGAGGCGGCCTCCTCCTCCAGACGCGTGGACTTCCGGTGTGGACACAGGGCAGGCTCAGCGCCTGACAGATGGGGGCCTGGCCCCGCTCACGAGCGGGGGCGGGGGGCGTCACCGGGCCCCACCCACAAGGGGAGTCACCAGGTCCTGCCCATGGTGGGGGTGGGGTCACTGGCCCTTGCAGCCCCTGCTCCGAGGCTGGCTCAGCGTCACTGGCCCTTGCAGGATGGGGTGGAAGAGCACAGCAGGCACCCCAAGTTGTCCATGAGCAGCGGAGGCCGGGGGCCTGATCCCTGCAACGGGCCGCATTTTGCCTCCTCAGCCCTTTCTGACCTTGGGCCCCACCATCAGCACAAGTGGACAGAACGAGCGACGGTGTGACTGAAGAGGAGCCTGTCTGCTTTCTTCGCCTTTTGGTGACCACCTGGGGACCAGTCTCAGCCAGGTCCAGGCACAGCAATCCCCAAAGGAGACAAAGATGAGAATGTTCCCCGACTGAGCTTGTCCTCTGGACCCACCGGGGAGGAAGAAGGGAGCAAGATCAGCAGCACATTTTCAGCACTGGAGACAGGAGTGAAGCGGCCACGTTCCTACTCCGGTCAACACAAGGACAGGCTGTCAGCGGTGTCCTGCAGAGGGAGGCCCACTCCTGAGCACAAACGAACTCTTCAACCCCCAGTACAATGACTGGTGGTGTTATGAATTATGACCCCCAAAAACATGTGTTGTAAATCCTACCCTCTATGCTTGTGGTTATAATCCCATTTGTTATGTGAATGAGGCAGGACTAGTGCAGGGCATGTCTGGAGTCAGTCTCTTTTGAGATATAAGAGAGACGAAACAAGCTAGCAGAGGAATGATGGGGGAAGAGAGATGACAAGCCATACGCAGATAGCCAGGAGCAGAAGCTCAGAGAGATAAGGACCTTCCTCCAGAGGCGACAGAGAGAGAACGCCTTCCCCTAGAGCCAGCATCCTGAATTCAGACTTCTAGCCTCCTCAACTGTGAGAAAATAAATTTCTGTTTGTTAAAGCCACCCACTGTAGTGTTTCTGTTACAGCAGCACTGGATGACTAAGACAGGTAGGCAGCGAGGGGCCTGACTCACGAGATGACAACGTGGTCACTGCACCATCAACAGTACAGGCGCATCAGTCTGTCTCGGGCAGCAAGACCAGGTAAGGGATGCAGAATCACCATCGGAATCTTCTGGAATACGGGCTGATGGGTCTGAGGGAGCGGGGATGCACAGAGCAGAGCCTCACCAACAAGGTCTGTCTGTCACCCTACTGACCACCTCACGCTGACCGCAGGTTCCCAACAGGGGCCCTAGAAGTCCACAGGGCCCCACGGCTCTGCTTACTGCCCTCCCAGCACACCAGCTCTCCCTGCTCTGCCCTCCGCTGGGACGTCCCCCAGCACCCAAGGACAGACCCCTAGGGGACTCTCCTCATACGGCCCACTGCCACGTCCTCCCCCACCAGCCCGTGCCTGCCCCAGCACCGGGGCCCAGGGGAGTCCTGCCCACACACAGGTGGTAGTACCAAATGCCCTGTTCCCAGCTGGCACAAAACAAGTCCAGAGGTTCCAGATCCACAGATATCCTAGGATCCTGGGATCGCCCGGCTGCAGGGGGTCTCAGTGTGGACACCCTGAGTGGGGTTACTGCCCGCACTGGGCCTGTGGGCATCTATGCTTTTGAGGTCCCATGACTGACATAATCTGGCTTCCTCTTTGCGTTCAAGCTGCTTTCGGGGCTTGGAGACCAGACCCCACCCACTCCAGTCTTCTGTAACCATCTGTAGGCTCTGGTCTGGGTTGGCGTTCACTGCACTGCATGTGCTCGTTCCCGCCCCTGCATTACCCTCACGCAGCTCTCTCAGTTCTGGAACATTCTGTGTGTTATCAACTTGGGGCCTTTGCACAATGCCCCCAGGTCCCTGCTCTGCGTGGTGCTCCCACTTGGCCCTTAGACTGTGCAACCACAGAACCCCTGAGAACTGCCTTCGTGGTGAGGCTGGAGGCAGGCAGGGAGATGCCCACATAACCAGGCCCTTCATGAACACTGCCTCTAAGCATTCTCTGTGACTGTCCTGCCCACAGTCACATGACGTGACAGGCAGAAATGGTGCACAGAGCGTCCTCAAGAAAGCAAACAGAACTCCTTCCACGTTTACTGTTAGGGTGTGTTAGGCTAGGTTCTCTAGAGAAGCAAAACCAGTGAGGCATATATTATGTGTGTGTGCTGTTGGTAGGACTCTAAAATGGTACAACCACTTTGAAAATCAATTTGGTGCTTCCTTAAAAAGCTAGAAATAGAAGTACCATACAATCCAGCAATCCTGATCCTTGGAATAAATCCTAGAGAATTAAGGGCCATCACATGAATAGACGTATGCACGCCCATGTTCATTGCAGCACTGTTCACGATAGCAGAAAGATGGAAACAACCTAGGTGCCCATCAACGGACAAATGGATAAACAAATTATGGTATATCCACATAATGGAATACTACGCAACAATAAAGAACAACGATGAATCCGTGAAACATAACATGGAGGAAGCTGGAGGTCATTATGCCAAGTAAATTTAATCAGTGACAGAAGGACAAAAATTGTATAAGACCACTATTATAAGAACTCAAGGAAAGGTTTAACTACACAAGAAAACATTCTTCGACGGTTATGAGGGTGAGGGAGGGAAAGCGGTATTCACTAACTATAAAGTAGACAAGAACTACCTTAGGTGAAGGGAAGGACAGCACACACTACAGGGGAAGTCAGCACAACTGGACTAAATCAAAGCTAAGAAGTTTCCTGAATACAATCAAACACTTCGAGGGACAGAGTAGTAGGGGCAGGGGTCTTGGGACATTTACGTCAATTGGCATAAGAAAGTTTTTTAAAGAAAATGTTCTGCATCCCTTTGGTGAGTGGTGTCTGGGATCTTAAAAGCTAGTGAGCAGCCATCTAAAATGCATCAGTTGGTCCCAGCCCACCAAGAGTAAAGGAGAATGAAGAACACCACAGACACAAGGAAAGTATTAGCCCAAGACACAGAAAGGGCCACAAAATCAGACTTTATCAACCTAAGACCAGAAGAACTAGATGGTGCCTGGCTACCACAGTGACCACCTTGACAGGGAACACAACAGAGAGCCCCTGAAGGAGCAGGAGAAAAGTAGGGCACAGAACTCAAATTCTAGTAAAAAGACCAGACTTAATGGTTTGACTGAGACTGGAGGGACTCCGGAAGACGTGGCCCCCGGACTCTCTGTTGGCCCAAAACTAAAACCATTCCTGAGGCCAACTCTTCAGACAAAGATTAGACTAGACTATGGGACATAAAATGATAACTCATGAAGAGTGTGCTCAAGTAGGTACATGAGACTAAATGGGCAGCTCCTGTCCAGAGGCAAGATGAGAAGGCAGAGAGGGTCAGTTGCTGGTTGAATGGACATGGGAAATCCGGATTGGAAAGGAGGAGCGTGCTGTCACAGTATAGGGAGAGCAGCTAGGGTCATGTAACAATGTGTGTATAAATTTTTGTATGAGAGACTAACGTGAAATGTAAACTTTCACTTAAAGCACAACAGTAAACCAATATATATATATTATGTGTGTGTGTATGTATACACACACATATATAAACACACATACAAATATATACATAATACATAGAGAGAGAGACATTTATCTCAAGGAAATGGCTCACACAGCTGTAAAGCCCACCAGTCCCAAGTCCGTGGGTCAGGTGTCAGGCTGGAGGTTTCTATCGGCATGTCAGATGGCAGGCTGCTTTCCCACAGGCTGTAGAGGCTGATGAATTCAAGATGAGCAGGTAAGCTGCTAGCTCAAGTCCCAAGAACCAGAGATCAGATGATGAGGAGCTGGATGCAGAATCCAGAGTGAGAGCCTTGCTGGAACATCCATTTATGTACTGGAGGCAGGCCACATCCCTAGAGAAACTCCCCTTCAACTGATTGGCTGCTCACAGCAGATCTCATCATGGTGTTGATTACATCATTACATAACTTGCAAACTACATCATAACTGCCAAACCACACCATAACTGCCAAACCACTGAGAATCATGGCCCAGCCAAATTGACACACAACCTTAACCATCACAGTCCACCCCTTGTCAACTTGGCAGCTGTACACATCTCCTTAAACCATACAAAATCTCTAAAGACAATTACAAAGTCATACTTTTGCCTAATATGATACAACTAATGTGTACAACCAAAAATGCACTAGCCCCACTTACATCTTATATTTTATAAGAAAGTAAAAATATTTGATGCACACATACAAGGAAGAAATACTCATAGCAATTACAGTTCTTGTTTCTGCAACTGGTCACATGGTCATAACTGGTATTTAGAACTACCTTCTTCCACCACTCATTCCATATTCCCTTTACCTTCAGCAAGCACCTAGCTGGTTGTGGCTCTTTGCCTGGTGGGGTGAACCGAACCTTGATTCCTGAAGGGTCTCGGCCATTAGTAGTCATGTCAGAATTGGGTTGCTATAGTTTTCCATTGACTTTAATCACAGGGCATGGCAGTACTAACAGATGCCCTAAGGATCTCCTCTATTCTAGACATACTCTTCTTTACCTCCATTATGTAATATCAATCAGATTTCCTCTTGGTAATCAGGATCAATCACACTAGCCAAGATGGTAACTCCCTTCTTTGTCTGTTGATCCAGAGGCACGAGGAATCCAAAGTGGCCGGGTGGCATTCTTAGCTTCCAGTTCAATTGAATCTATGTTGTGTCTCCACATGAGAGGATTCCTTCCTTTGGAACTAAGACCTCCAGACCCGCAGAACATAGGGTCATGGGAACAGGAAGCAAAAATTTTGCAAGTGGGTCACTAGGGGTAACAGTGAGTGGTGCCACTACCATTTTCACCCCTTGATTCCT